CCATCCCTTTATATGCCTAATATTAATAACATGAATTAACTATTAACATATTTGTGCTATCCCTGCATATGCCTAACATTAATAACATGAATTAACTATTAACACATTTGTGCCATCCCTGTATACGCCTAATATTGATAACATGAATTAACTATTAACACATTTGTGCCATCCCTGTATATGCCTAATATTAATAACATGAATTAACTATTAACACATTTGTGCCATCCCTGTGTATGCCTGATATTAATAACATGAATTAACTATTAACACATTTGTGCCATCCCTGTATATGCCTGATATTAATAACATGAATTAACTATTAACACGTGTTAATGTACATCGTCCTTTTAAATGGAAATTTCCTTTTGTAAGAAAAGAAGGAAAAAAAAACAAGTGTTTCATTATCATGATTTCTTCAGTAAAAACAATATAGTACTATACACACTAAAATATATAATTAAAATAAACATTAAATGTTGACTCTAGAAATTTGGAGTTTTTAAAGCATTTTTAAAGCAAAGCACTTTTAAAGCTAGCATTTTTAAAGCTAAAGTGATAGATAAGAAAGAGATAAATTCTACTGGTATAAAATATAAATAAATATGACCTGCCACTTTCTTCATGTAAAGAAAACTTTTTATAGCTTGACATTGATGAGTTAAATGAAAAAAATTATTATCGAATATCAGGGAATAAAATTCATAACCCTTGATGGTTAACAAAGTAAAAAAACTTGTTCTTAACAATTATTGCGACAGTTCTAAAAAAACCGCAATTTTTGTCATTCAATCATAAAACCGTAAACTTAACTCTAAAATTGTAAAAATTCCGTATAAATCACAAAATTTCATAACTCTTGGTGGTTAACGAAATAAAAAACTTGTTCTAAACAATTATCGCAAAAGTTCTCAAAAACCGTAATTCTTATTATTCAATCGTAAAACCTTAAACTTGACTATAAAATCGTAAAAATTCCAAATAAATCGCAAAATTTTGTAACTCTTGACAAAATAAAAAACTTGTTCATAGCAAATTATTGCGAAAGTTTCCCAGAAACCGTAATTTGTATTATTCAATCGTAAAATCGTAATCCTGAGTTTGAAATCATAAAAATTACATATAAATCGCAATAGTTGCCCCCTCTGACTATCACACCAAGCCTTTTAATTAGATTGCATTAAAATATTTTCTATTTTACAGGGATGCCACGGGCGACTAAAAATATAAGAAGTGCTGTCTAATAAAAAGCAAAAATCTATTAAAAGATAAAAAATATAATTACATTAAATCTATCAAAACTAATAACTTTTTCAAGCATATTTCTCTCTGCATACAATTAAATTAAAAGCAAAGAATAATTTTGCTTTGAATATGAATAATTTTTCAACGTCAGTTGTGGTGTTAATTACGATGCAATTAAAAAAAGTGATCAGATAATTTAAAAAAAAGAATTGAGTTTCTACTACTTCTTACAATTTTAGCCGCCTGTGGCATAATTCTCTTGTATTATTACATGATATATTATTGCATGAACGTATTATTACAGATGATTTCAACTATTTGAGACTTGCGAATTGTTTTTCTAGTGGCAGTGTGAAATAAAGCAGAATTTTTTTAAGAAGGAAAAAAAAAAATTTCAATAAAAATTTGTAGATCATAAGATCTTAAGTATTTGTCTGAAAGACCTGATATGCATCGGTTTAAATTACTTGTGTATAGTGGTGGGAAAAAATCCTTTAATTTATTAAAATATAAATACATTACTCTTGCTCTTTTTGCAAAATATTTTATCGAGTAATAAGCGATTAAAAGCTAAAGTATTCAGAATTTTTGTAAATTTACCCATCATATTAAAAAACTCACCACGAGAAAGCTGAAACAAAGCGACGTTTCATATTAACTTTTGAATCATTTTACACAAAGTTATGAAAATAACTTTTAATAAAACTCACAAACAAATAATAATACACTGAAATATAAGCTTATAACTATCGATAGAAAAAACGTTTCCAATGACGCTGACAGACTTGTATAGCTTCGTAGAAGAAAAATTTGGAACGTGGTATTAAGAACTTAGTTTTATTTCTTTTCTATTTTTAGTTATTTGCAGGTTGTCTATGATTATGGATTTGAATTCTTTTATTATTTAAAGTGAATTTTTAGATGAAGAAATTTGTGATTCTTTAAAAATAAAATATCAGTTTTCAAACTTTTGGTGGTGTATAAGAATTCTACACTTTATTAATAATAAATTTTGAAACTTAAAAATGCACCACTTTTATTATTAAAGAATTGTTGACTTATATAATGTTTAAGTAAACTGTATAACATATTAGTGAAAATATTATTGTTTGCAGAAATAGCAACCGATAACATAAAACGGTGGCTGTGTTAGTAGTGATAGAGATAAGAATAAATGATTGAATTTAATTCTTAACAAGTTTGGAGAAAAAGATGTTTAACGATTTTATTTTTAAATCAAAATTAGCCTAAAAAAATTCATCAGTTTAAAATCATGCCGATTTTTTTTTCTCCAGAGGAAAAAACACATTTTAGTGTATGCTAGCTTTTAACCTCTTGGGGACGGCTTATTCAGAAAAGCATTTGTACAAAATCAGAACCAAGTTGTAACTAAATAAAAAACGGTAACTTAAATGTAGTCGTTGCTAATTTGACAGACTTACTTTGCTTTTACTTTAATTATTGTTAGCTTAATCATATATATAATCAATGTTAGTTCAAAGTATTACTAAATAGTTTTATTTTGAACAAAGTAATGGTGAATTAAATAAATCAAACAATTATAACTCCGCCCGCAAATAAACTGCTAGCTAATTACTTTAATTACCAGTTTTATCTTTCTACCCTGATTGATACGGTTTTATGCCGGCACGTATTTGTGACAGTCGGCGCGAAAGAATTGGATTAAAGGATGATGCATTAAATTTTATTGTACTGGTATATACAGTGTTCGATGCATAAACATATGAGCGAAAAAACAGCGGTCACTTTTCTTTTCAATTTTAAACAGTAACACATTTTGTGTTATCAAGAAATAAATTTTTAAAGATTTTTTTAGCTAAACTCTTATTATCATATATTTTTTTAAAGCCGGAGTGTGATAATTAAATTTTTAAAAACGACAATAAGAAAGCGTTAAGTTTACTACAAATAATAAAAAGCTTAGTAGTTGTTTTTTTTTTATTTATTTCATAACCGTCGTTGAACAGCAGATCCAATTTTGGGTTTACGATTAACTCCGTAGCCTCGTAATTTTGAACCCAATCCAGAAGGCAAGGGAACTCCTGGATAAAGTATTGGGAGACATTTGATTTGCGTGGAGGAATTTTTGATGCAACTAAACCGCTTTTGCGTTACACGGAGATGAAAACCTCTTACAGTTAGCCTGACGGTAATGGGACTCTAACAAATGATCCGTCTACTACTGAGGATATTTTAGATCAGCAATGTTTTCGGTGCGAGCCGGGTGCGGAATTCGAAGCCATCGCTTTGATTCGAACCCGGTTCATCTCATTGGACTTAGTAGTTAGTATGAGGATGGTTTTATTTAAATATTATGCAAAAGTTTGAACTAATTAAGTTGTTGCATTATTTAATAAAACTGCGAGACCTCGTTCAAAAAGCCCCATTATTTTTTTTGTTTACCCCTATATATATATATATGTGTGTGTGTGTGTGTGTGTGTGTGTGTGTGTGTGTGTGTGTGTGTGTGTGTGTGTGTGTGTGTGTGTGTGTGTGTGTGTGTGTGTGTGTGTGTGTGTGTGTGTGTGTGTGTGTGTGTGTGTGTGTGTGTGTGTGTGTGTGTGTGTGTGTGTGTGTGTGTGTGTGTGTGTGTGTGTGTGTGTGTGTGTGTGTGTGTGTGTGTGTGTGTGTGTGTGTGTGTGTGTGTGTGTGTGTGTGTGTGTGTGTGTGTGTGTGTGTGTGTGTGTGTGTGTGTGTGTGTGTGTGTGTGTGTGTGTGTGTGTGTGTGTGTGTGTGTGTGTGTGTGTGTGTGTGTGTGTGTGTGTGTGTGTGTGTGTGTGTGTGTGTGTGTGTGTGTGTGTGTGTGTGTGTGTGTGTGTGTGTGTGTGTGTGTGTGTGTGTGTGTGTGTGTGTGTGTGTGTGTGTGTGTGCATAATATAGATATTTTTTAATTTTATGGAACAATATTTTGTTAATGATCGTAAAAAATGAGCGATTTAAAGAAATATTCTTCTCTACTTGGAAACAAAATAAACTTAGAATGTGTAACCTAATGATAAAAATTGTAAGGAAGCAATTTTGCTCATTAAAAAGACTTTTTATCGTTTATAACTGTTCAAGTAGGAAATGGTTTTTATCTCTTTTCAGTTAAGATGTTTATGATTTTCAAAATCTCAAAATAAATTTAAACATTTATTTCTGGCAACATCTCTTTCTCTCTCTCTGTCTGTGGTGAATGTTATTTCTTACAGAAAATTAAGCGTGAACTTATGAAATAAAGATCTCTACTGAGTAAATAATAATTTTTTGAATTAAAAAAAATTATATATTCTTTAGAACAAGTTAGAATTTTGAAGAAAAAAAATGGTGATAAGTTTGATAAATAAAAATGGCTCATCAGGCGCATCAAATCTCGACACTGTAGCTGCATTTCTGTAGGCTGCATGGAGGCACCCATAGTGCTTTCATCCCATAGGTTTAACAGTAAACAATTCCCAAGCTAATTATCGAATGTTATTTTTTTTTTTATATTATCATTCTTTCTGTACATTTTTCTACACACTTTCGTAATTTCAAGTCTCTAAACCTTAAAGTTTTTGCTCTGTAATACAAAATATAGCGTACAGTTGAACACCCATTATAGCGGAAGCTACTATTTTTAATGCTATTTTTTAATATGGCCAGACTAATTTGAACCATTAGAATAAATCTGCCGTATTCAATATTCTGCAGTTTTGCAAGTAAATATATTGTGGCTTATGACATACATTTTTCTTTCTTATATTTGCTTATAGCCAAAATATCGTTGTATCTGTGATGCTGGTTGGAAGATTCCAAATGGTGGCCTGGCTTGCACCGAAGACATTGATGAATGCAGTGGTGCAGATAGGAAATGTTCACAAAATCCATTAGTCACTTGTATTAATACACAAGGAAGTTTCCATTGCGGTCCTTGTCCTGCAGGTAAATATTCTCATTTATGTTCTGAGTTCTAAGAATTTAAAAGTTGAACAGACCATGTAACTTTGTTTTTCAGCTATACAATTGTAAATATCAGACCAAATTCTTTATATCAACAAATTCAGCATTTTAATTATTCTTGTTTAGACGTTTGAAACTGAATAAAGGAAACAAACATTAATTGTACATTGTTGTTTTTATGTAAATTAAGTTAATGTAAATTAACATCTTTTACAAATGGTACTATGGTTTTTCTTTTGCAGGTATGAGAAGATTATTCTAATTTATGTTCTTTTTCTAAGATTTTAAAAGTTGAACAGACCAAAAAATTTTGTTTTTCAGCTATACAATTGTAAATATCATATCAAATTCTTTATACCAACAAATTCAGCACATTAATTATTCTTGTTTAGGTCTTTGAAAGCGAATAAAGAAAACAAACATGATTTAATCACTTGTAGGCTATTGTTTCTACGCAAATTAAGTTAATGTAAATAACCATCTTATACAAATAGAACTATGGTTCTTCTTTTGCAGGTATAAGAACAATATCTAATTTATGTTCTTTTTCTAAGATTTTAATAGTTGAACAGACTATATAACTTTGTTTTTTACTTATACAACTGTAAATATCAGACCGAAATCTTTATATCAACGAAACCGGCACATTAATAACTTTTGTTTAGAAGTTTGAAACAAAATAAAAAACAAACAAACATGGTTTAATCAATTTTAGTTTAATTTTAAATGTAAATTAAGTAATGTAAATTAAAATCTTTTTCCTATAAAACTAGGATCCTTTTCCTGTAGGTAAAAATACAATATTTTCATTTATGTTCTTATTTCTAAGATTTCAAAAGTTGATTATACTATATAACTTTGTTTTCAAGCTACACAATCGTAAATATTAGACCAGAATCATAATATCAACACACCATTTTTTCTTGCTTAGACGTTTGAAACTAAATTTAAAAAACATATTTAAAAACATATGTTTGGTTGAAGCATATGTTTCAGAAGTAGGGATCTGGTGAAACTAAACTCTATTGCCGGCCCATAGGTTCCTTCTGGTTTAATTAGTAGCAAAGACCGGTGATGCCAATTATCTCATCGAAATCTGTAATCTTTCAAACAGCGAAATGTTTACTTCAGGCTAAAGTGCAACGGACTTGTTGATCACTCTCAACTCATTTTCAGTTTTTCCTTCACCTAATTTCATCTTCAAGATAGCAAAGCGCCATTTTTTCCTTACTTCATGACTCCTCTCCCCTCAGTGTATCTAGTCTTCATGCATGTTTCCATCACTTCATGATGAATGGGAAAAGGGCCTATTATGGCCTCAGATGCCCAGTTCTCAAACAACGAACGAATGAATGTGTAGTCCATTCCACCATAAGTTGGCACTGGAGAGAAAGGTAGGAAATGTAATACTCCGCCTTTGAAAAGTAGTTCTTCGCTATTTTGGAATTAATTGCAGTTTAAATGCGCGTACAAATATAAATAAATGTTGCATAGTAAGAAAAGTATGTCTTGAAACATTCATTAGAAGTTTTTCATGTTTAAATGTATTTAACTTATAAATACCTTCTCAGTAAAGCGAATGTACAAAGAAGAAGGAGGTGTTTTAGTTTGGCGCTGAATTAGTTTTCAAGGACAAGGAATTGGCTCATTGGCTATGTTTCTACACTGGTCAGTCAGCTTTTCCATTCGCCTTGGCTTTGCTTAAGTGTCCTATCTCTTGTGCAGTTCTTATTTCGTTTTTTTTTTTTTTTTTTTTTATTTTATTTGATGATTTAATTTTCTAAATATTAACCTCATCTGTACAATATTTAATGAAAAATTTTTTCCCCTCAGAATAAATGGAAAAAAAAAAACATCCCAATAGACAGGTGAATATTATTAAACTGATGACAGTTGAGCATATTTGCTGTGTAGCTAATTCAACATGTGATTTTATTATTATTTTTTTACGACAAAAGAAAAAATTGTTTTCGCTTTATTCGATCTCTGTAAAGATTCAAATTTTGCGTCTTTTGCGCCATGTTTAGTTCTGAAGTACAATTCGCTTTTTATAGGAACTTAAATAATGTAAAAATTTAAGATTTTTAGTTTGTTCAATTAAAGGGACTTTTAAATATTATCTGAAATACAATTTCCATAATAGAAGTGTTAATCCGTTAGTTATAAACTAATAAAATGTATAGGAATTGAAATAATTTCAAAAAAGACGCAAAATTTGAATCATTAATTTTTTTTAAACATCGAAAGGTTAATTTAAACCAATCAATATTTTAATAATTATTTTTGAAATACAAAGCCCAAAAAGCTGAGAAATCCTTTCTCTTATGTAGAAAATATTAAGATATTTCAGTATCTGACAAAATATTTCGAGACTAACTAATTCTACTGTACTTAAATAACAAATTATACGGATTTTTCTCTTAAGCCTCCTTTCACCTGCAAAGGTCCTGAAAAGTAAAGGAAAGTTCTGATATTTCAAAATATGTATTTTCTTTTGAAGAAATGCGCCTACCCATCCAAGTAGAATTTCGCCTGATGAGAAATTGTGGATTGAATTCAATTCAGGGCTACCCCACAAAGAGTTTGCAGAAGGAACTGTCAACTGTTAAAATATTAAATGAATAACATGATAACCACCAGGATAGGTGGTTATCATGTTATTCAAAGAGTTCCTGTTGAGTCTAAGAGGGTGGGATATGGCAGCTGAAAACATGGGGGGGGGGCGAACAAACAGTACGCCCCCCCCCATATGGATAATACTAATTATTTTTTTCAGGTAAGTTCTTTTGTCTCTTAGAAGCAAATATATTTCAGAAAAAAAAATTTTTATTAAAAAAAGAAAAATTTCTGAAAATTTTTTTTAATTTTTTATTTATAAAAAAAAGGAACAGTAAATTTTTATCAACATGGGTATGATATTTTTCATAATCAATGATTTCCTGCCTATGTTGACTTTTTCTTCCCCAACAAAACACCAATGAGGGATAAATTAATGTACATTAATCTACAAAAAATAAGCATATAAAAATAAATATTTAAAACAAAGTATTTATGCGCATCTATGCATTTCGTTTTTTTTTTCTTAGATTTCAGCAAAAAAGAATCTTTTTAAATATATTTTTTTTTATTTAAAATTAGTTTCGTTTAATTAAAAAATAATAATAAGAAAAAAAACAGTAAGTATTATAAAACATAAGTATGATCTTTTTCATGATCAATAATTTCCAGCCTATGCTGACTTTTCCTTCCCCAACAAATCACCAATGTGGGATAAATTAATGTACATTAATCTACAAAAAATAAGAATATAAAAATAAATATTTAAAACAAAGTATTTATGCGCATCTATGCATTTCGTTTTTTTTTTACTTAGATTTCAGCAAAAAAGAATCTTTTTAAATATATTTTTTTTTTTTTAAAATTAGTTTCGTTTAATTAAAAAATTATAATAAGAAAAAAAAACAGTAAGTATTATAAAACATAAGTATGATCTTTTTCATGATCAATAATTTCCAGCCTATGCTGACTTTTCCTTCCCCAACAAATCACCGATGTGGGATAAATTAATGTACATTAATCTACAAAAAATAAGAATAAGAATATAAAAATAAATATTTAAAACAAAGTATTTTTGCGCATCTATGCATTTCTTTTTTCTTTTTTTTTTACTTAGATTTCAGCAAAAAAGAATATTTTTAAATATATATTTTTTTTTCTGTTTAAAATTAGTTTCGTTTAGTTAAAAAATCATAATAAGAAAATCTGCTTTTTAAATACTAATTAAGAAATCAGCTTACAACTAGTATCTTAAAATAATAATTATGAGAAATGCTCTAAAAAATCGTGCTCTTTTCCGTATTCTGTACAAAATTTTAGTACGATTCTTGGTTTTAAAAAAAAAAAAATCGGCGTTTTGCTTTCTTAAACGCCAATACTGGCCACTTTCTCTCCCTTTGTTGCTACCTCATCCCCGTACTGACTTAAAGAGTAACCCAGTTTCCATGTAATCCGGTCTACCTACCTTTCTCTCCAGTGCCAACTTAAGGTGGAACCAAAGGTGTCATCAGAAACCTTCTCAAAATACAACCAGGGGGTGAAAGCGAAACGGAAAAGAAAAAAGGCTGGTAGTAAACCATGTCAGTAATTGCTAATTTTCGGGAGGAGTTTACTTATTCTTTTTTTAAACTATTTAACAATATTTATTTTATCTAGGATAAGAAGCAGATTTATATATATGTTAAAATCTTAAAGAAATCTTGGTAGTTACAGATATTTTATTTTTCTCGGAAAAAATGCTATAATAAAATGTCTTTTGTACCAGTTTTTCATCTTTTCCGTCTTGTTATATAAGGGCCTTCAGCCATGAATACAGCGTATATCAGCCCGATAACCGCTCTTTTCTTAAACGTCTGTGTTCTCTCTAAGCATTTCGGATAATCATGACTATCCCATACCTGCCAACTTTTACGCATTTGGCGTAAAATGTTATTTTTATAATTAAAGTAGTAGTAGATATATACAATTTTTTTCTTTTATAAGATTAATTTTAAAATGATTCTAATGACCACTATTCTTTAAAAAATTAAGCATACATATTAATATGCATTACTATATTGGTTATCAGCTTAAGCATTTTCAAATACCACGTATACTTTTGCTTACTATTAAAATTTTAATTCCATTTTACTACCACTGGGAAATATTATAATGGAAGGGTTGAAAAGTTGACAGGTGTGCTATCCCCACTTGCCCTAGACAAACTGTGCACTTTGCACCAATGAAGCCCGGTTACCGGGGGGAGTGCACAGGGAGTCTTCCCCTTTTTGTAAACAGCGTAAATATTTATCTTTATCTTCAATTTGTTCCCTTTATTATGTATCAACTTGCGATTTATCTTTATGTATAACCCAGACTTGATTTTCAATTATTGTTCATTCTGAGATTTAACTTAATGTTAACGCAGCACCTCCCTTCCCTTCCACCACATATTCATCAATTTAGATGAAAGAGCAGATATCCATGCATGGATAGGTACTCTGAAAAACTTGATTAGTTAGTAATACAACGTATATTTCTGCTTAAAATTGTAATTTACATTCCATTTTACTACCACTGGGGAAAATCATCCTCGAAAGGATTAAAAGTTGGCAGGTATGCAAATAGGTACTTAATCACATTCAGATGAATTAGTAAGAGCCTCTCACTGGGCTGATGCTAAGATAATTACCACATATGAGTAAATAGGTACTAAAAAATGTTTCGTCAACATCGTGCTGATATAACATTGAAACAGTTTTAGAAGGATAATCTGCATTATTTTCATAACTGGCTAATGATTCTTTGCTGACGGTATAATGACGTTTTTTATAGTAATTTTACCTAATTTTGTGGTAAAGTATTTTACACTAACGAAGTAAAATATCACCTTAATTCTATCACCTGTCCCATATTTTTAGAAAATTTATTGGATAGATATACGAAAAATGGGTACTTATGTTAAATTCCGTTGACCCTTTGCGCTAAAACCAAAGAAATTGAAGCCACTTTATGAATGAAGAATTTCTTTTATCGTTCTATATTCTAAATCATCAGTTAATTTTTTAAAAAAAATTCTTTTTGTTATATATTCCAGAATTTTCGGTCCATCCTAAATTTTCTAAAATATGCTGTATGATTTGGTGTTAATTTGGCGGAATTTGCACCAACTTTAATGGTTGACGAGATATTACACATGTACCCAAAAATGTATTAAGACAGGTATTTTTGGCTTCTAATTTATCATAATTTGGTTTCTATTAATTTGGCTATTGATTTATCTCATATTTCTAATGTAGCCATATCATGCAAAAACTGTAATAATTTTAAATTAACTAAATTTTGTAAAAATATTATTAGACAGTTTTTTTGGCTACCATGATGACACTTCCTTAATAGCCAAATTTTACGCTTTTAAGGAAGATTTTTCCCTTGGCAATAAATTAACAACTCAGTAATTTGAATCAATGTGCTATTAGTTAAGAGCACCAACGAATAATTATAAGGTGTTTCATGAACATTTGAAATAGTTATCCGTCATATTGGTTGCGTAATTTTAAAGTTAATTTATTGTTCCAAAAACAAAATTTAAAAGTCAACTTAGTTAACACTAAAAAAAATTCCTTACAAAGCATGAAATTTGGTAGATCATATTTCCTTGTAATGAAATGTACTGAAAGCGAAATAATTATTTTAACTCTAAGAATTTCATTGTGATATTATAAACTTTTCTAAATTATGGTGTAGCATTTGGTAGTAAATTAGTATGTTAATTATTAAATTTTAAATTCTTAGATTTTAACTTCGTTTAGGGTAAACCAACTACGGTCTACAATTTTTTATTCTATTTTATTTAATTATATTAATTTATTTTTGTTAATTAATTTCTTTTACAATTGTGTTTCATTTAGGATTTACTGGAAACGGATATCATTGTAATGATATTAATGAGTGTGATATGTACAATGGTGGGTGTTCCATGCATCCCTTTGTTCAATGTATTAATACACATGGATCTTCGCAATGTGGTTCGTGTCCAACAGGTACTGCTATATACCTATTTATTTCATAATTCAATTTTTTAATTTATTAACACGTTGAATGCCACGCTAATTTTACATAGCTTGCTCGTTTAACCACACGGTAAATAACTGCAAACTAAATTTGCAAATATAGACAGGTTTTGCTAGTTTATAAAAGATTTAGCTTGAAAGAAATGGTGAATTATATATGCTTACGAATTGTTTAAAAATAGTGGTGGATAAAAATCTACTAAATTGAATTTATTAAACCAAGAATCACAATAATTAAGTAAATTTTGAATACATTTTCTGCAATTCCATAAAAGAGTGTAAATTTTATAGTTCTATATCATGTTATACACTGTCAGCCAGCTGTTTTTCGCGGCCTATGCGAAAGGTTAGTGTCAGCAAGCTGTGATTGACATGGTCTAAATGTAATTTCAGTGTTAGCCGCCGTTGGTTGACGCCGCCTAAATGGAAAGTCCAGTGTCAGTCACCGATGACTGACGCGGCGCTCAACATGTTAATTCAATTTGTGTGGTAAAATCAACAACTTCAATTCAATTTTTGTGGCAAATTTTACTGTTGGACCTTTATTCAGTATTGATTTCGTCGCAGATTTATTTGCAATGAGTTTTATGAGTTTTCAACAGGAGTCCAAAATCAAAAAATGTAAGACAATCTGTGAAAATAAATCTTTTAAAGATAGGACATTCTGTGTGAAGAATTGACTCGCATTTGGGCATTTTCATTTAATTCACGGATCATTTTAACCCGTTTTATCCCGACGTTTTGTATTGAAGTCGTGCAAAAAGTGGTTTTATGAAAAAAGTGGTATAATATGTTATTCAACTAAATGGCTAATATCAACTATTTGTTACCATTTCAGTTCGAAATGTCCCTACATCTTACAGTTCTAGATATAGTGATAGAAACTTAAATCACCAATAAATTATGGTGGAAGGGAAACTTTTAATTCTCCTAGATAAAAGACAGTATTGAAACAATTGTCCTACCACAATATATGTTTTTAAAAAAGGAAACTGTCCTATAAATATGACGCTGTGCGCTAACAGGTTAAGGGGTGCAGTTTCGAAATTCAGGCGCGTGGTATTTGACTCTTTTGCCCTACACGAGATTAATGAACTAGTATGGAATATTTAGTTTTCAGTTACCGGACTATGAAAAAATTTGGAACATACATTCTCCTTGCACCAGCTACTTTTAATGATAAAATGATTTTGAAGTAAGTTATAAAATCGACACCTACGTATTATCCGGTCGACTATTTTCTATAAATCAGAAAATAAATTTGGAAATAGTTCAAATTTAAATATTATGTTTTTTTTGTCAAATTTGAATTCGTTCAATTTTTTTTTATAATCAACTACATTATTAAAATAATTTTGAAAGATACCAAAATGACTCTGATCCAATGTTGGTCATAATGGGAAACGTGATATTTACTACGTAAATACTATAAGATCTATGACGTTTAGAGAAAATCACCTTTCCTCATGGTAGGTTTTAACATAACTATAATACATTGAAATATACAGACAAAATGATTTTGCATGATCTATTAAAGTTATAATTTTAACTTCTTATGATTTTTTTAAATTAACTATAAGAAAACTTTTGTATTTTAAAAAGAATTCTATTAATTCTGTAAAACAAACATGTCTACTAAATTGTAATGCGTTTCTTTCTTTCAATTTATCAATCATTTCTAATTGATATTTATATTATTTTAAGGGTATGTTGGAAATGGAAGACAATGTACATTTAGTGGCGTTTGTAGTATTAACAGAGGAGGATGTCATCCAAATGCGACATGCATAGAAAACACAGGTACAAAAAATTAATGTACTTTAACAAGATGTCAAGATTTTTAATCAATTAATAAAGTTCTTTAACCGGGATAGCCTGGTTGGCAGGGCGCTGGACTCACGTTTGGGAGAACATGAGTTTGAATCCAGCTGGTCGAAGACTCCCCGTGAACTAAATGGTGACTGGTGCAGGTTAAATCTGTCGAGTCACAAAGTCTTCCATGTTCCCATAACAAATCAATACCTCTGGGGGTACTGAATTGGAGATTAATCGTTCTCTGGTTCATATCAAAATTACGATCTGTGGATGAATGAATACATGTATGAATGGGCCCGCCCTAAAAAAGGTTATGACGTATGGTTGTGGCAGAAGTTGAAGTAATTCTTGGTTATAGATGGCGCCACTGGAAAACAAGAACAATCCCCTCCCTCAGCTTTGATGGCCGATTGGATTGGATTGATGATTCACAATGTTGGCAAAAACAAGGAAACACTTCTATATTAGCTCCATATGTACATTCTTTATTTCAGCAGCAAATGTCTTGGAAGATTTTACATGGCAAAACTGCTGGTACGATTTAAAAAATCAGATTTTAAGCTTTTAGAATTTATGTAAATTAAAATCTTTTTTCTTTTTCCAATACTTTTATAACTAAGAAAGCATTCGAATATCCTGCAGATTGATTTCAAAGCACACTGCTGTGGTACTAAAACTTAAAATAAGTAATTAAATTCCTCTTCTCATTTTGGTTCATCCGAACAATGGATGGGCAGAAATTACATCATTTCTAAAAGCTAGAAGCATGATCTTCTAAATTGTGCCAACAGTATTGCCATGTAAAACGTCCTAACACGTTTGCTGCTTAAAGATAGATTGTTTACTTTGACTAAGTAATAGAGGTGTTTATATATTTTTGGCCGCCGACCCCTGTACTTGTAATATGGCTATTACAAGTGCATACCTGCCAACTTGTACAGTCGTTGAATAAAACTTTACAAAGTGGTTGTCAAACAACAATTTACTCTGGAAGAATTTTGTATAAACACAATTATATGACCTAGAACGAAATTCCCAGAAACAAATTTTTAAAAAGAAAAACTGGTAGCAAAACTATTTCATTTACAGCTAGGTTTTGGAAAAAGTAAAAGATGCTTTTGCTATCATGATTCAGAATTGTCAACTTACACGTATTTGGGGAAAACATCTTCGAATGGTAGCTAGGTTTATGTTTTAATCTATTATTCTTTATTTTGAAAATTTAGTTATTTTCCACTCCACTACATGCATATAATTTAGGGGTTTAGGTAAAAAAATTCTCTCTGTTCCTGCTCCCTTGTGCTGAAGCTTTTAAAATTTTGGCAAAACTCCCAAAAACTCCGGAAGCTTTAGTTTTAAATTGTCTACTACTCAATAAAATATTTAGCAAAAAACGTAGTAATTGGATGCCTTGTTAATTATTAAGTATTCATAACTATTAACTCTATATTGCGGGGGAAAAAGTCCTATTCATATATTAAAGTTGTTAAAAAGTTTCTTGGTTGTAAGTGTTTCGGAAAATTTATAATGCCTTTTGCCTTGCGTTCCATGTACACTGCTCAAAAAAATTAGGGGAGCCATGTGCTCCCCTAATTTTTTTGAGCAGTGTATATAGATATAAATATGCATAGATATACACTGCTCAAAAAAATTAGGGGAGCATATGGCTCCCCTAATTTTTTTGAGCAGTGTATATGATATATATGCATAGGTTGATTTTAATTCCCAGCCCTGTGGGGATATCTAAATTCAGCGCTTAACTAGTTAAGATTTAGTTTCTGATTTAAAATGGACATTTGAACGAAAGGAATTTTTTTTTTCAGTTAACCTTTGCTTCGCACATATCCACCTACTACTTACCTTTTAAAAAATAACTTTTTTAAAAGGAATAAAGATTCAAATAGAAAAAATGCCTTGTGTTTGTTGCTATATAGGCAAAGGAACTATACATACCGCAAAATTATTTAAACGTCTCCAAAATGTAAAAATGTTGTGGGAAATGATTTCAGAAAACTACTATTTTGTTTCTCTTAAATAGTTTTCTTCTACTTAAATTCAGGATGCATGAGAAATTCACATCCGATTTAATATTTACTTTTATTTCAATTATACAATATTTAAATATAAAGGCACTTGTAAACTTAGCACCGCATTTGGTGAACTAAAATTTTACATTGCTTTTTTTTTATTTCTGAATTTTACAAACTTAGATGCAGAATTAACAACTTGGTTATTTTTTACAGCTATAACCGGAACATACAGAGAATGTAGGTGTCCTCCAGGGTATGGAGGAGACGGTGTTGGGTTGCATGGCTGTTATCCATTATCTGGAATGAGTTGTGCTAACAATCCGTGTCAGCAAGGTACTTGTCAGGTAAATATATTAAGACAAATATTCTACACACACAAACTTATATATGTATGATACAGAGATGCCAACTGCTGCGGACGTGCCATAAAAATTTAGAAAACGGTAAACACCACTAAACTAAACTAAACAAAAAAAGTAAACTTTGCATATATTTGACTAATATTGCTTGCTTTTTAAACGGTGTAGCATAACTTAACGATAAAAGTGGCGAATCATATAATACTTCAAATTATTTAGGAATAGTGGTGTATATAAACCTAATAAGTTGAATTTATTAAACCAAGAATCACACATTAATAAACTACCACTCGAAAGTATTTATTTACTGTCCGGAGCAAGTTGGTATATATATATAAATACAAGAAAACACGAAGAAAGTAAAGAAAAACAATACTTATTTGACTAAACCTGGCACCATTTTCTCTAACTACTTAAATAAGATTATTAACAATATTACTAAAGAAGGTTTCTCTTGGATTATCACTAATAATCAACCGATTTTAGATTTCACTAAACATAATAAAATTAATTCTATTGCGACTTTTGATTTCCAGGATCTTTTCAATAGCATTCCCCTTTCTAAACTAAAAGATGTCCTTTTGTTTTATTACCAAGATTTTAAAAATATCCTTTGTTGCGATTTTGATTATTGGGAAATTCTGATTAATTTTTGTCTTTTTAGTAATTATCTTTACAATGGAAGGGATATCTTTCTTCAAATTAATGGAATACCACAGGGATCTAATTATTCATCTCTCTTAGCTAACTTATTTTTGCATTATTATGAA